TATATATATATATATATATATATATATATATATATATATATACATATATATAGCGCTGATATGACCCCAAAGAGTGTTCAGCAGAACACAGCAATGTATCATTAAACCGTTTACAAAGCGCTGAGTTCTGCTGAACGTAGCCACTGGGTCTCTACATGTAGCAATCGGATTTCCAATCAGATTGATATAATCGCAGTGATATAAATTGTCTAGAGAGAAAGTTCCCTAAGCTAATCGAATTACTAAATCGTGTCCGTGAAGGACGGATCAGATTAGCGGATGCAGAGGAACGTTGCGTACATACTTACATCTCTTAAGAAATAAATATTAAGAAGTAAATAGAAAAGTATGTGCATTGTTAATTATAATAAAAATAACAATGTATGTACTTTTCTATTTATTTCTCAATATTCATTAGCGAATGTTGCGTAAATATCTACGCAACATTCGCGCAAGTTTCTCTTCATTCGCTGATCCGATTCGTGCCCTACGGACACAATTTAGTAATCCGATTAACCTAGGGAACTTTTTCTCTAGATAATTTATATCACTGTGATTAATCCGATTGTAAATCCGATTGCTACACGTAAACATCTCTTTATTCAATGGTGTATCCATCATAAGATAAAAAGAACAATATCATATGTCTCTCTTGAAACCGAACATTGGTCTGAGAAATTAAATATAATTTTTTTATTTTTTATATATTTAAGCGTTTCACAATATAAATTTAATTATTTAAATATTTAATTATTTTTATTTAATTATTTAAATATTTAATTATTTTTATTTAATTATTTAAATATTTAATTATTTTTATTTAATTATTTAAATGTCGAACTCTATACACAGTTTAGTCATATATAAAAATCTGTGCTTGCATGATGACTTTAAAATACAACTGCGACTAATAGACGATCTCTTAGAATTTTGAATGATGAGTTTGATGAAACTAATAAGATTGTATAATAGAGTCTTAGGAGCAGACGCTACAAATAACTGCTTGATTACAAGAAAGCAAAAGAGGCTACAAATAATTGCAAACCTAATTACAAGAAAACAAAAACTTCTTTAAGAAAAGATAACCATGGAAGAAACTCAAATATATGATTTTCAAGATCCATTTATTAATATGTTGAACGATGATTGCTTAAAACATATTTTTCAATTTTTACCAATTGTTGACAAAATCCGTATAGAAAGAGGTAAGAAATTCACAAATACAATTTACAGTTATTTCTATTGCCTCAGATAGATATATTTCTTTATATTATCTGCTTAATGATTATGCTTATACTATTATGATATATATATATATATATATATATATATATATATATATATATATTTATAATGTTGCACTATTTACTTAGAATACTTTCCAGTTGCATACACTGTGTTACACAAACCAGTTTATTGGTTGCGAATTATCTTACAAGATATTTTAGATAATATGTGACCAATAAACTGATTTTATGTACATGTGTGTCAAGTTGTGTTAAGCAAATGAAAAGCATCCTTACTATTTTTGTAGTGTGTAAACGTTGGAGAATATTAAGTTTAGATTCTTGGTATAAAATGAAGAAGATAGATACCTCATACCTATTACAAGGCTTTCCAAAACGTCATGGAACCACTGAATTTATACTGAAGAAAATAGAGAAAATGTTATCAAGATATGGCAAATTTATAATAGAACTACATCTGCCCAATTCAGTAACAACGTTGCAGAATCCATCTGATGTAGCTCCGTTTAACAGAAAACTATTCGAAATAGTCATGGAACATTGTTCTAATCTTACTAATATTAATGTTTCTATGATAACAATTGATAAAGAGAACAAACAATTATTTATGGGCAAAAAGATAACTAGGCTTACTTTGGAAAGATCTTACGGCTTAGATGAACATGAAACATTTTTCCAAGAATATCCACAGCTCAACTATTTACAAATATTTTTTCATAATGACTTTGGGGGTAAGTGTTTATCATACTTGCCAGTCCAGACAATGCGCACTCTTATAGTAAGATGTTGCTGGAATATTGATGATACTATATTTTCCATGGTAAGTCTTTCTTTTTAATTTTTTTTTTATAATTGGTTGATATAAATGTGTACATAACATTAATTATATTTCAACATAGGGATTGGCAAAGCTCGAAAATTTGGAACATCTTGAAATAAGTTGTACTACAATTGGTAGAAAAACTATGGAAACTATCACCAATTATTGCAAAAAGCTAAAAATATTACAAATTTACAAACAAGATATGTATCCATCAGATGCGGCTGCGTTACGATTTACAAACCTTATTAACTTGCAAACACTAAAAATGACACACTTTCCATTTTCACTTCTACATTTCACTGACATAGCAATAAACTGTCAACAGATTACTTCTCTAGATATTTCTGGTAAATTATCATACCGTGGTTGCTTTCCAACAAGAGATACAAGTCGACACAAACATCATTCTATCATTGGGCGCATTCAGTAGAAAAAGCGCTCAGTGAGCAATCAACGATTATTGGTTCTTGCTATTAGATCCCTAAATCTAGACCAATTACATTGACAAATTACTCAACTGTTGTGCAACTGTTGAGTCTGCTGAATGCAGCCATTGTTCCACATTTAGTGAGTAACAAAGATAAGATGCTACTTGTGTCGACTTGTCTCTTATTGGAAAGCAACCCATATACCGTTTACATTTTTATGCAGGATTCACGCCGCATCCGACGTCCGACGTACGACGTACGACGTCCGATATTCAATAAAAAAATAGTTTTCCAATGGAGAATTGAATTCTATATTGGAAAGCTGTTCTCCTATTGGATATTGGACGTCGTATATCGGACATCGAACGCAGTGTGAATCCTGCATTAGTGTTCTAAATATTTCAAACATATGATTTATCATCCGAGACGATTTTAGGTGGCTACTTTCTTGGCGATAATGCACTAGGAGCTATTGCAACATTACCAAAATTAGAATATTTAAACATTAGTTTTGTGCTTGGAATTACCGATTTTGGTTTGAAAAATCTAAAGAACCTAAAAGGATTGGAGTGTAGCGGATGTGGACATATAACAAACAATGGGATACACAAAATTCTTCATTTCTCACCTCAATTACAACTACTAGATCTTTCCTTTTGTAATAGGATTACAAACAATATTTACGAAGCTGCGAAAATAATTCATGATAATGAACCTAGTAAAATGGTACTAAAAATTTATGTTTTGGGAACACGAATTGTTTTAACAGATAAACATAAGGTGCATCCGACAATACAACTGATCAATGAGTGTTTCAATGAGTTCTATATTCCTCCTTGTCTTTCAGGTATGACCGGGAATTTCTATTCAATTAGCTAGTCTTATTAAAAATATTTGAGATATCTTGATTGTGTAGGGTTAAATTATTATCTGGTGTGCTTCAGGAATGCTTGCAGCAAAACATATATTTTTGAATTATTACAAAAAGCAATATAAGTCCTGTACGAATTGGAGAGAACAGATAAGAAAAAGAGAGGCCATCTTGGTAATTATCGGAGTCGCAACGAATTATTATTTGATAGACTTAGGGTGCTTTCTAGTTGCTTAACACATCTTGCCAACATATACACAAAACAAGTTTATATCACATATTATCTAAAATATCTTGTAAAATAATATGCAACCAATAAACTGGTTTTGTATAACACAGTATACACAACTGGAAAGCACCTTTACAAAAGAACTACGATTTTTAAAATTATGATCTGTATTCTCATTTTCAGATAATGTCAACGAGTAGTAATCCGTTTGATAGGTGTTGGTGTTGAAATAATTTGATTTATTCTGTTTGTTTAAATAAGATTTTTTGTTTTTGTTTTGCCACTGTCACGTCCGACTAATGCCCAATTTCTTCACCTCTGGTTAACTTTATCTCTTTGACTATATAACTATGGACTGCTAGCCGCTGGGTGTATATCAGTTGGACACGGGGCAATTGGACACAGTCCAATCACAAGTCGCTGTTCCAAGGAACCCTACAAATATCTCTAATCATACGGTGCTGTGATTGGCTGTGTCCAAATGCACCGTGTCCAAGTGCACCGCTCCCCTAGCCGCTAACTTGTGTTTGCAGCGAAACGTCTGTCAACATCTGTAGCGCCGCCAGGTCCAAACAACGGCTATTATGTAAACTATCACATACTTGTAATTTCTATTTTACCATGTGAAAGATATTTTGCGTGTGTATCCGTGATCATAAGTTTGAAGCAGTATTGACAGATGTTTTGCTGTAGACGTAAGTTAGCGGCTAGCACTCCATGGTTATATAGTCAAAGAGATAAAGTTAACCGGAGTTGAAGAAATTGGGTATTAGTCGGACGTGACAGTGGCAAAACAAAAGCAAAAAAATCTTATTCAAATGTAAATAAACAAAATAAATCAAATTATTTCAACACCAACACCTATCAAACAGATAACCACTTGTTGACATTATCTGAAAATAAGAATATAGATCGTAATTTTAAAAATCGTAGTTCTTTTGTAAGTTTTCAGTTCATTTGCGAATACAAATACAATACTACATGTATCATATAACTGAACTTAAAGACTAAAATGAAACGCTGAATGAAGACACAAGTGAAACTAATTTCACACAACAACATACATACCATAGTTACAATCATATTATTTGTGTATTGTATTATATTTGTAACTTAATGAGTTTATAAATATATTTACCAGCGTAATAGTTTTCATATTTTTCAATTGTCACTAAGGGGAAAAAAAATGTGAGAACTATTACATCGATGAGTATAAATATGACATCTTAGAGAGCACAAACTTCCAAGAGATGTTTAAAAAGACTATAAAGACGTCCAGAGAACACCTCTATGTTTTTAAGACATCACAAGAACATTTCTAAAATGTCCCTTGGAAATTAGTGCTATTATTACATGGTACTTTATAAAATTTAAAAAAATTCTACTGATTTAAAAAAATTCTACTGATTATAGTTACAATATATCCACCTAGAAGACGTGTATGAGATGTTAATGATTTCACCAAACATCTATGACAGCGATGGATGACAAGTAGATCTTTAATGGACTTCCATAATTCATCGATGATGGACATCCATATAACATGCATCGTGGATATCCACTGTATATCTACTATGAATGAATTATCAATAGATTTTCATTTTAATTTTTTTTGAATTTCAGTACGACTTCTATTGCATTATAGCTTTCCAAGTAGAACATAAGAATCAAAATGATATCAATTTGACATCATTTTGATCAAACATTGAACAAATTTATCAATTATCAGTAAAAAAATATTAAATTAATATCATTTTGACTATTGTAAAGATACACGTCGGCTGGAGGATTTGAAATTATGTAACCAACCGCCACGTAGTCAGAATCACCAGAGCTTTGTTCTTAATATTATACGTATTCCGTTAAATAAAGAGTTTTATACTTATACGACAATCATTTTTATTCTACACTTATACATATAGTTCATACAATCCCGACAAAGTCCAAACGTCCTCATTATTCGCGTGTAATGGTCGTGATACGATCGAAACTAACTAATCGAATAACCAATTCCGATACATTATCGATTCAATACAAATGCGCTTTAACAATTACTAATAACCGCGCTGGTCAACTACCCGGAATAAACGGACACGAATCCGAGTGTGAAGCGGTATACGCGCTCAAACTTTGAGAGAAGTAAAACGATCTTCTCTCAACGATTTCTATATCGTTCTAACACTTATACAAGACTCAATTCAGTTCTCTCCAATACTCTCGCAGAAATCAGGTAACAAGTCTCTCTGAATATCCGCGCACTTATATACATCGACGAGACGACGCTTCTCGTAACTTAACAGCGCTGACCAAGTATACATATAATCCGATAGATGATGAGAGTTGGTTAATTTCTTACACTATTATGTTTTACTTGGGCTATTCCTAACAATACAACAGATTATTATAATTAAAATATATATTAAATAGTGTGAACTTTTTAATTTTTATTGTAACATTAACATAAAATAAATTCCTCGCAGCACCGATATTATTTTAACATGAATTTTATGAAATTGTCATAAAAATGGTATCGTTTGATATCAAAAAGACATCACTTTTATATCATTTGATTTTATATTACGAGAAACACCGAAAATATAATTTCACATTTGTATATAAAAATATTGCTTAACTAAAATCTAATGCAAACATTAGAATTCTTATATAACAATATGTTAAAGTTATGTTGCTGTTATATTGTTGGTGTAACTTAACCAGTAAATAACATAATAACATAACAGTTTTATAACATAGTTACATCGCAGTTATAAAGAAAATTAAATAACTTCAATATTAATAACGTATAACAGCAGTTATATTACATGTTACTCCTGTGTTATATCACAGTTATGTTCTATGTTTGTTGGGTATCACCATGTAATACGCGGATATTAGAAGCGTTTACGTTGTTAACTCTGTTTTGCTCTATTGAGTTCCTTCTTTTGCCGTTGTTTGGTCCTGTCGGCGCTACAGATATTGACAGACGCTTAGAATCGCCGCTAGCAGTCCATGATTATATAGTCAATGCTCTATTCGCCAACCAATAAACGTATCCGAAAAGCTTGTCGTACGACACGTGAAATAGCACCCTTATGCAGGATTCTACCTTTTGGTTATTTGTAAAAAAAAAACACTTATTATTCTGGCAGGCTCAATCGGACATGACCGACAAATCAGCACTTTTCCAACGCGAACGACTTATCTCTTTAATTCGAATTAAGACTAATGAAAGATTCACATTGCGTCCGATTTCCGACGTACGACATCCGATATCCAATAAGAGAACAGCTTTCTAATAGAAAATTCAATTCTCCATTGGAAAGCTGTTCTCCTATTGGATATCGGACGTCGTACGTCGGACATCGGACGCGGTGTGAATCTTACATTAGTCTCAATTCGAATTAAAGAGAAAAGTCGTTACTTCACGTTGGAAAAGTACTGATTTGTCGGTCATGTCCAATTGAACCTGCAGGAATAAGTGTTTTTTTTTTTTACAAATAACGAAAAGGTAGAATCCAAGTTAGAAAAACACTTAAACACTAAAGAAGAAAACGGATGCTAGATGTATAATTTGTCAATATTGTTTGAGTTTATATCGTGTATGACTTGTAACGTCAAACGTGTCGTCAAATTCACGTCGATATAACTGATTGAATTGAGTGGAACTCTCAAGGATCGTTTTACCCGTCTATCTTTCACGATGGATGTCAAATCCAAGAATGGAATGTGGGGAATAATTGTGAAGGATCTCTTGAGTATCAGCAAGCGGCATGAGGAAATATCAAAGCGCCTTGAAGAGAATGTTATGGATCAAAAAGAATATTTGCAAGCATTGTTCAATCAATTATTACTACCATCGTCTGTCCCGATTGTCACAAAAACCCCAAAGATTTCAAGGAAAAAAGTATTAGAACGTATTGAGACTATACCAGAAGATGAAGTATTAGAACAGAAAAATGTAGAAGATATTGTTCAAACTTTTCCCGAAAAAGAAAAAGATTCAGACAAAGTAGTCCGTAGAACAAGAAGAATAGCATCTCTGAAAGCAGTGGATAATATCACAAAGCAAATACAAGATTTGCACAATACAAGACCAGCAAAATTCAATAATGAAAATGTTAGTTTCTCAGTAAAGAAAGTAAGTAGTAATATTTATTTTTCTACACTGTATGATATCACTTGTGTATGATTATTTATATCTAATATATTTTATAAATCTTAGGGAAAGAGAGAGAGTAAGCTCAAGAGGAAAAAATCTGCGCAAAACAGTTCTGATGAAGATGAAAATAAGGTACGTTCTAAGTATAGCAAAGTAGAGGTAGATAAAGAAAACAAGGAAGAACCAGAAAAGAGAATAATAAGAAAAATGACTGAACAACCTCTTCAGTCTAATAAGGAGATAATTGAAAAGACCAAGGAGCAAAATTCATCTGAGAAATTGCCATGTTTCTCCAAATCGGAATCTGAAGAATGTCAGGAGAAAGAAGTAAAGAAAGAGAGTGATGCAATTATTTCTCCTACCACAGATGTCATTGAAGAATCTATATACGAAGATGCAATTGGAAAACCAACTCCAATTATGAATTCAACTCTAAAATATAGTTCTGTTATGACTGAGAAAATGTTGAATGCCACAGTAGTATTAGAGTCTTTACCACCACAGAGAATATTAAATCAAACAGTTGTGATCCAAAAGGAGTCGAGTCAATTGAATAGTAGAGAAAACAGCAAAGGAAGTTTGAAGAAAGCACAGCAAGACAGTACACGATTGATTAAAGAATCTGTGGGACAAAACATATATAATGGGTTAATTACAGATGACGAGTCATCACCTGAATTAAAGAAATCAAAGAAACAAATTACCAAGAAGCAGAAGAAACACATACTATCGGTCTCCGAGGATGACGAAGTTCCTAACACTCCTGTGAAGAATGTAAAAGAGAATTTTAAAGATCCAATTACACCCTTGGTTAAGCTCTCGCAAATCAAAACTATGTACAAATCGAATGCATTGTTCAGTCCTTACGTGAAAGAGTCTGTGAAGAAAAGGGTCGAGGCGTTTGAGCAACAAGTGGTGACGCAGAGCCCAAAGTCTGTCGACGTGAATGAGCCTACGAGAATAACCAGAACAAAAACTCGTGCTATGGCTGCCGCGGAGGCCGCAACAGAAACGAAAAATACGGATAAAAATTATACACAGATATTAGCTCGTAAGTCGCTCGCGAAAGCTAAGAAGATAGCTTGCTTTGCAGAGAAGCAGAAGAAAGACAATGAAGAATCCAAAGAGGTAAAAGCATTTGTGTATGAAAAATTATATTTCATAATTATTGTAAGAGTTTGATATTTTCTATTGATTATGTTTCTTCCTTTGTTTCGTCCTCGTTGATACTCTCTAATAATGAATCAGTCTTTCTTTTCAGAACAAGGAGCAAATGCCAGAGCGAATCAATAAACTGACTAAATATGACAGGCTGAATGCAATGCCACAATTAAAAACAACACCTCTGAACAAACCGAAACTCGTAACTCCAATGTCTGCAACTCGTCTTCAAACTCCGTCAAGCACACAAAATCTTGTGAATGTGAGAATCATTTTTTATTTCATTCTTTTGAGTGTTGATCTGAAAACGTCTACTTAACGTATATTTTGATTTTAGCATGGAAAAGCTTTAACCGCCTCGCGCGCGAATATCGTGATTACCATGGAGTCATTTGTACAAGTTCCAAAGACTGCCAGTAAAAACAACTCTGCTGACAAATTAGAAGATAAAAGACGACACGAGGAAGATGCGATGAAGAAGAGAAAGGAAGCCTTGAAATTACTGACGGAGGAAAAGAGAAGGTACGGGCATATAGTAATTACTAAAAAAAATAGAGTTGATACTGAAATTATAATATAGCTTTCAAAGGGTTTTTTTTTAATTATTTACAAATGATTATTATACAAATTTTATATATGCATTTTACATATCAGAAAGCGAGAAGAGAAGGAATTGAAGAACAAGTTAGCCAGAGAAGCTAAGGAGAAGCAGGAATTAGAGAAACGGCAAAAGGCAGAGAAAGAAAGAGAAGAGAGGGCGAAGCTGGCTCAGCTGATGCAGGAAAAGCAGCGCGAGGAAATGGAAAAGAAGCGCCTTGCACAATTGCAGCGAACGCAGGAGAAGGAGGAACGTCGAAAATTAGAAGAGCATCAGAGATTACAGAAATTGTTAGAACAAGAGGAGGCGGAACGTTTGCTCGCCGAGCAAAAGCGTCGAGAACAGGAGGCCGAGAGACGTAAAGAAATGGAAGTGAGAGTCCAGCAACAGGCTGAAGCGATAAGATTGAAGAATATGGCGCAAACGGCTCAAGTTAAAGTAAGTCTACATATAATGTCGTTTATAATACACATGTAGAATCATAATGTCTACAGAGAAATTTTTATATAAACTATTGCTAATTTAAGTAAATTGGTTCTTACCGATATATATTTATGTTATCATATTCAATCTTTTTTTTACAGCACAAACAAGCTGGTAATAAGCAACAAGGGACTACGAATTATGTGTTAGACAGCGAACCTGACGATGACGAATCGGACGATGAGAATAGACCGAAACACGAAATACCACATTGGGCACAGAGTAGGTATCTTTTTTCAAAGAATTTTCTTAGCTCTTGGTAAAATAGGAACATATTTCATGAAAATTGACATATAATTTTTAATAAAAATCTTTATTTCCAAATGTTTCTCAAAAGAAAGTATATATATACAGTATAATATTGTAATATAATTGTACATTTGAAAAATCGTTAAATCACTCGAAATTTTTCAGCACATGTACGCAAGGTGCAACTGGCAATGCAACGGCACATTCCAAATGAAATAGTGTACAAATTCTTCGACACTCGTAAGTGCACGCCGGATTTGACCGAGCTATTTCAAGGTATAGATCGAAATCGATTGAAGCGTACCTCCAGTGCAATCTGGAAAACGCCGCCGCGTTTTTCCATGATGGAAGGCGAATAGGATTCTCGAATCGAAGCGCAAATATTACGAATTTAATATCGTAGGAGATAATTGATCGTGATGTTGTGTCATAACGATTTTACTATATCAGACGATCGAACGTATTGTATGCATATGAAAATGTGAGGGCGCATTGTTCATTGCTACAAATGTTCACACAACAATATATGTAACGTGCGTTTTGTTCGACGATATTTAGTGTTCGCTACTTCTTTATATATAAATATTATATCTTTGCTAAAAGGAGATTAAAGACTTTTGTAGTACGCAATTGGTTAATCGGTATTAGAGAGTCATTATGTCGAGGTTTTAATGCAACTACTGCACGTTTTTAATGCTCGTGTTTTAATGCACGACTACTACTAATTCAAATAAATTAGTACTCAATTATTTCACATTATTTATATATTTATATTAAGATATATATATTATTGGTTCATCATTTTGTCGACTTATTGAAGACTCAACGTTGCGACGAAGTAACTTTCGTAGATATGTCTTTGTTGCGGTTGAACGCATTCACGATGGCTTCAATGCTCTTCTTAAATACACTTACTAAAGTCGAGATTACCGTAATGTATTAGAACATCTTGTACGAGATCCTTCCAGTGATTCAGAATAAAAATCAATACGTAAAATCTATTTTCTGTCCGAGCAAGAATATTCTTTGCGCCTCCATAGATGTTAAAGGATAAGTCGATAAATGCGTATAAACCGGTATCTGCAAATACATAAAATTACTAAGCTTAAGTTGACTTGATATAATATATCATGTGCACTCTCATGTTTTTCTTACATAAGGTAAAGTATTATCCAATTTTAGATATTCTCTGTACGTTTTATCACGAGCTTGCGATTCGTAGTAAACCTCCAGAATTAAAGGATCCAACGCCTTGCCGTACAGCAATTGTCGCTCCTCTTCTAGAATTTCTTTCAAAACCTCGATGTCTTCTGTCTCGATTTTGTATCTGTCTCATGCCGCCGTAAGGTACCTTCGTAAGGCCGTAAGAGTACATGTTTGTATTGGGAGTGTGAATAAGTTCTCGCCGTTTTTTGTGAAAATAAATCCTTTATTTTAAAAAAATAATAAAAAAACAAGTCAATTAAAGTATTGCCCATCGCTGGAGACTACTTTTTCCTATCTTTCTGGCAGCATTTGAATTCCACGTCGAAAAAACGACACTTCTTTTGCGGCTATCCACGAATCGATCCATTTTTTCGTTTCTTTATACGAAGTGAAGTGCTGCTCAGCCAGGCCGTTAGTCATCGATCGAAATAAATAGTAATCAGAAGGCGCAATGTCTGGAGAGTACGGCGGGTGGGGTAGGACTTCCCATTTCAGCGTTTCCAGGTATGTTTTGACCGGTGACGCGACATGCGGCCGAGCGTTATCACGCAGCAAAATCACCTTATCGTGTCTTTGCTCATATTGCAGCCGTTTTTCTTTCAATGCTCGGCTCAAACGCATCAATTGTCGTTGATAGAGATCTCCTGTGATGGTTTGGTTGGGTTAGAGCAGCTCGTAATACCCTACCCCAAGCTGATCCTACCAAATGCAGAGCATGAGCTTGGAACCGTGGATATTCCGTTTTGGCGTTGATGCTACTGCTTCGCCGGGCTTAACCCACGATTTTTTACGCTTGGGATTACTGTAGTATATCCACTTTTCATCACCAGTCACAATACGATGTAAGAAACCTTTCCTTTTTTGTCGTTGAAGCAGCTGTTCACACGTGACAAGACGCCGTTCGACGTCTCTCGGCTTCAGTTCGTATGGCACCCAAGATCCTTCCTTTTGTATCATTCCTAATGCTGTCAGACGTTTCGAAACTGTTGTTCGATCAACTCCTAATTGATTTTGCAACATCGGATTGCGTCTGACATAGATCTTCAGCAAGTAATGTTTCCAATTCTTCGTCTTGAAACTTTTTTGGTGCACCACTGCGTTCTCTATCTTGAACATCAAAATCACCATTTTTAAATCGGTTAAACCAATCTCTGCATGTTCTTTTCGACAGAGCACGATCACCATAGGTTTCTACAAGAATTCTGTGTGCTTCAGCTGCAGATTTCTTCTGAATAAAGTAGTGCAGTAAAATTCCCCGCAAAAACGGTTTATTTGGCACGAAATTTGACATGTTTTACGCTACGAAAAGAAAATGTTCTTTATAGGTTAATGGAAAGACACGCACTGATTTTAAACATAGGTTATAGAACTTCAATATAGATGCGTCATCATCTTGAATTATACACACAAAATTTTTATACCGCCATCTGATGGTGAAACGGCGAGAACTTATTCACACTCCCAATAAAAAGTAGTATTTATTTTTTTATACTGTATGATATCATTTGTGTATGATTATTTATATCTAATATATTTTATAAATCTTAGAGAAAGAGAAAAAGTAAGCTCAAGAGAAAAAAATCTGCGCAAAACAGTTCTGATAAAGATGAAAATAAGGTACCTTCTAAGTATAGTAAAGTGGAGGTAGATAAGGAAAATAAGGAAGAACCAGAAAAGAGAATAATAAGAAGTTTTCGTCGTCATTTCGACGTGGTCATTTCCAAATGGTCCACTCACGATCTTTCAAAATTTAGGGTTAAACGGATAAAAAATTATCGTAGATATTTACGATAATTCGAAAAAACATGTTTCCGACAAAAGTTATTTTTCTTCGACGTAGCGTCATTATAGGGGATTCCCTTTAAAGAAAACGAAGGTTACCCCATTTTCGCCGAATTCAGCGCCATCTATCAGAAATAGAAAAAAAAGTTCAGACAAAAGTTACGTGTTTTTGGATGTAGCATCCGAATCTGTAATAAAAAGTAGGGATTCCTATTTAAGATTTCAAAGTTACCTCCCGCCCCATCCCCAGGGGGGCGGGAGATGAATAATTTTTGTGGGATTGAATTGCGCCCTCAAACTATTGAGGGTTTATTTGAAATATTTTTGTCGTACAATGCTTATTTTTCGAGATATTTAGCAGTGTCAAGTTAAAAAAAAATACCCTGTATATATATATATATATATGTACAAAAAATGAAATATAAATTTCTTTTTCTTCTTTTTTTGCATTGATCTCTTATAGAAATATCATACTAAGAAATACTGAAAAATTATTAGTGATTAAATATTACCAGTAATTCAGTAATTTTTTGGCCAGTACTTAATTTCTGGTGAATACTGATAATAAAATCACTGTTAAATATTGATAGTAATCAAATACTGAGAATTATTATGCGAAGGTGAAAAATGAGAAAATCATAATGTTTAGAAAAATATACTTATATATTCCTAATTTCCTCATTTCTCATAAACTACTAGATATCGAAGGTTGTCAATACATTCCAAACTTTCGTGAATCCTTCTGCGATAATTTCAATCTTAAGCGATATACCCTTATAGAAATATCATACTAAGAATCATTGATAATTACTTATTTTCAGTATTAAAAATACTGGATAATAAGTAATTATCAATGATTCTTAGTATGATATTTCTATAAGGGTACAACTGGCACCATCCATGTCTTAACTCCGTTAAAGTTGCTTAACCTGACGATAAAGCGGCACGCGGCGATTTCCAATGACTCCAACGATATTCTTACGATTAATGCATATATAATATATCCTTATAGTGTTCACACTACATTATAACATACCTAGCAAACACCAAATAATAGTTACATAATTTTTACTTGTTGTTTATTGGATAATTTGTTGATAGATATTGAAACAATGCAACATTCGATATGCGATGAATATTGATGTAATGTAGTGAACCAGTGATAATTACTTTTACATTTTTAACAAAATGTTATAATGATTAAACCAACAAAAAAAATTAAAAAATCCAAGAAAATCCAAATTAAACAAATCGAATTACTAATTTTTGAGAGAAAGTTTTAAAAAATATGATTTAAAATAATAGTGTTGTTTCATCAAATGACATCCCTTATAGAAATATCATACTAAGAATCATTGATAATTACTTATTTTCAGTATTAAAAATACTGGATAATAAGTAATTATCAATGATTCTTAGTATGATATTTCTATAAG